ATGGCAGATTATCAACTCGGTTCTGGCTCTCTATAGAGTCTTCTTCTATAGGAATTGGAATCTGCTTGGAGCACCCAGGGCTTGATGGCATTTCGACCAAAGGGGACATGGCCTCTTTCAGGCTGTGAACTGATACTTGTAAGGGGGTTGGAGAGTTGTGTTTGGAGCTCTGTAGGCTCAAAGTTAGAGACGGTGACCCTTGAACAGAGTCTGGTAGACTTGGAGAGGTCTGAATGGACCCCGGCAGACTTGGAAAGTTCTGAGTGAACTCCTTTAGACTTGGAGAGTTCTGAATGGACTCTTGTAGACTTGGAGAGTTCTGAGTGAACTCCTTTAGACTTGGAGAGTTCTGAATGGACTCTTGTAGACTTGGAGATGGGGCATTCTTAATACCCAACTGGGCCTTAGAAATTGGAACATCTTCAAGTTCCCAGAATTTTCTTATGCTGGAATCAAGTTCAGTGGTACAGTGATTGATTACCGAAGTATTCGACTTAATAGTTGAATGGATTCTCCCAGAAACAAGCCAACCTAACTTGGTATTAAGTGCTATAGGATGGTGCTTTAAATCTGTTTTATGACCTAGAATTATTTCTACAAAGGTATCTGCACCCAAAATTAGGTCTATGGGCTTGGTGACATAGAATTCTGGGTCTGCCAAGAGCAAATTTTCTAAATGAGGAAAGTCTGCTGACTGAATTTGGAAGTTTGGAAGGTCTGCAGTTACCCTTCCAACCACAAATGCTCTGGCAGAAAATAATTGATCATTATGATGTGGGGTGAACTCTATTTCAACCTGCGATGTTGTCCTGTTGACAACAATGTCACCTACACCTTTTAGTGTATAAGAATTTTTCCTTTTTTCAAGTCCCAACTTGTGGCAACATTGTTCTGAAATTAGGCTTATTTGGGACCCATTGTCCACTAATGCTCTACATAGCACAAATGAGCCATCCTTCGCCTTGACTTTAATAAGGGCTGTTGACAGTAGAATATTTGTTTCCGTTTCCAAAGGCATCACATTACAGATGGTATTTGTTGAAATCAACATCTCTTGAGAGGTTGTTGGTTGTGAAATGGATGGTTCAGAGTTGTATTGATGCAGAAGAGTATGATGGTTCTGCTTGCAGTTTTTACATCTTGATGTGATGAGACATTTGGATATCTCATGATTTGCTCTAAGGCAATTTTGACAAAGTTTATGTTTTTTAACTAATTCCCATTTTTTAGGCAAGGGAAGATTTATGAATCTCTGGCAGTCATTTAGTTTATGAATTTGATGACATAAAATACAATTTTGACCTTTGTTGACATAAAGGCCTTGAGCCATCATATTTTACTAAGAAGTTTTTTGTTCCTGGAACAAAGGAATTCTCATACCTTGCAGGCTTCTAGCATGTTTTTCTAAAAAATTCACAAAGTTTTCAAATGTTGGATATTCTTCATTTTGAAGGGTTAATTCCCATTCTTTCCTGAGGGCTTCACCAATTCTTTTTTCAAAAAAATTGATCAGGATTAGATCTGTTAATGTGTTTTTCTCAAGTCCTAGCACTGAGAGATTTCTAATGCCTTCATTGCAAACATCAAGGATTTCATAGAGAGAACCAGCCGAAATAGATTTTAATGGCCTTATGGAGAATATTTTGTTGATTTGTGAAAAAGCCAATTCTCTTCTGTTATTAAATCTATTGCATAAGGTATCCCATGCTTGCTGGTAGTTTTTGTCAGAAATGGGAAAACCCCGAATCAACTTTTCCGCAGGACCCTTAACAGATGCATTTAGATATTGAAATTTTTGTATTTCCGTTAGTGTTTGATTTGAATTAATGGTGGAGTTAAATATTTCTCTAAAACTAAGCCAATTGGCTGAATCACCATTGAAAATGGGTAAATTTATCTTAGGTAAATTAACATTGGATTCGGGCAGTTGTTTATCACTATGAATATTTTCTTTGGTTTCAATCAAAGATAAAGCTTCCTCAATAGACACCAACATATTAAAAATATCCTCTTTGGCTTTTGAATAATCGTCATATTGTTTATCATCTAACTCTGATTCTAATAATGTGTTGATAACTTGATTTAGGCTAATTTCACTTTCATTAACTTTTTGTTGGAATAGCTTTAATCTATGTATGTTTTTGGATTCTACAATAGCTTTATTCTTTGATTCCAGATCCTTTATTTCCTGAATAATAAAGTTGAATTTGTGCCGAATTTTAACTTCTGATTTGGGCATGACTTTATTTTAAGAATTTTAAGTTTTCAAATGGCTTACCTTAATTTTTTAAAGTATCCGGCTCGATGAGGGACCATAATGTTCGTGGCATGAATGTTCAGTAAAAGATACTAAGAAGCACTTTGCCACTTGTCTTGAATTGTTTTATTTTCTTTGGGTTTTAGAGTTATGAGTAGCTACCACATGATTTTGAATACATGAATTTTACTTAGATTTTGATACTAGTGGTAGAGAGAGAGAGAAAACAAAAAAAGTTATTAATTAATTAACCAAACTGTAAATTTACATCATGTTGATTGCTTTAAAATTTACATATTAAAGATTTATATTGTACAATTGAATTTAGAAGATTTTGACTTAATTTTCATATATAAAATTGAATTTAAGGAAATTATTAACTATAGGATCCAACAGTCATTAAGACTGGGAGCACTACTCAGTAGCAGGCCGACTTAGCTCCAAAAGAAATGGCCGCCTCTGACATGAGGAACAGACGCCATGTGCAGCCGCTCCTAACATGGAGTACAAACGCTACTCATCCTGTATCCCTGGATTAGGAGCCCTTACAGGGTACTATCAGCCGGGCCAGCTGAGCCCAGGTTTTTTAGTGAGCTTGTTACTGCTCCCCCTCCTCCTTTTTCATCCGGGCTTGGGACTGGCAAAGGCAGAGAGAGAGAGAGTTACAATACCTTAGTGACTCTTTCAAACGCATACAAAAAAGAAACATCCAAGTAAAAAAATACTGAAGTCAACACATTCCATCATTGGACATCAAAGTCCCAATGGGTATCAATTCACATTATTAATTAAAATATAAGAGTATTTTCTGAAATTATTAATTATATATTATCATATAAAAACATCCACTAGAAATGAATGTTGTAATGAAATCATCTAACTTACTTTAATTCAAGTTCTGATCTCTTGGGAGTGTCGAATTAAAGAGGTTAAACTATTATTAGCTAGGCTTTTATACAGTTAAACCTGTCTATAGCGCCCCCTCTTGGGACTCACCAAAATAGGGTGCTATAGAGAGGGGGGTGCTATAGACAGGTCACTTTTAATGTAAATCGCATCGTACTACATATTTAAAATCGGGCGCTATAATTTTTTTTTTTTTGCTTATCCCTAGTACACGTGGTACAGGCCATGATAATCATGGTGGGTAGTTAGCGACTGCTTTTTACTGTAAGCGCACCACGTGTCTACACATGTGAAAGCAGTTCGACTTTGCACTTACAAATGTGCCAGAGCCCCGTTTGGTTACTTGCACTCGCTGGTGGGGTTGGACTTTTGCAAGAATCGGGAGGCCATTGGAGCATTTTTTTTTTTTTTTAAACAGAAAAAAGTGTCCAATGCGGGGATCGAACCCGGGTCGTAGTGGTCGTAAACAAACGGTTTAACCAGCCTTCCACCGACCCCCCGTAATATAAATTAATTATATTAATTGAAACCATTGTGTGTACTTTTTTGTATTTATTTATTTTCTTTTTTTTTCATGATTAACTTTTAGTATCAGGAACAAAATGGCAATAATACATATTTTTGAAACATAAATAATTACAAATAATATTTTATTCTAATTGAAGAATATAGCACTTGAAAGGAAATAAATATGGAAAATAAAAAGAAAATTTAAAAATAATCATGAAGATCTTTTTAAAAATTTCTTTATAGATGTCTGTTTTTGCACTGAAATCCTATTCAAGATGTATTCCAGATGGTCTATTTTAAAAAAACATGCATGCCTTTCTTCCTCTGGAATGTCTTTTAAATAACAAGGAGCTTTTATTGTATTAAAGGCATCCACTGCTGCTGCAGGTGTTATTGATTTTGTGTTTAAATCTTTTATAATAACACCGGAAATGGAATATTGAAATAAAGTGTTATCATAATCATTGTGGCTACATTTTATGAAGATTTATTTATTTAAAAGAAATTATTTGTTAATTTTAAAATAACTAAAATATTTCAATGCTGAAAATTAAAAAGAAAATAATATTATTAATTAGCGCACGAAGCCTAAATTCCCGGTTAAAAAAATAATAACACTCGTGACATTGCGCAACGGCACTGCAAAGTGAAACTTAAACTAACAGAAACCAAAAGTGCGCAGGCGCGATCCTATCGGCGCCTGTCGATCATTGCCGCTTACCGCCACCGTAAGACCTTTTTAGCGATAAAGTTGTATATAAAAAAACATTCATCTATCGAAATTCGAATTTTAAAATGGTCGAACTATCAGAACTGTCGTATTATCAATACTGTCGAATTACGGTTTGTTATTTGATAGGCCGGAGGTTGGGACATCAGAATATGGTCGAATTAAGGTAGAGTGTCGAATTTGCATGTGTCGAATTAATGAGGTTATACTGTAGATATAGGCCTATATGGAAGGGAAAAAAGTTCACATTTTAGATTACTTTATTCCTCCGATTCAATGATATTTAGTACTTTAACCCAGTTATTTTTTGGACAAGCACATGATGTGTCGAAGCCGATTTATAAGCTTGGTTCCATTGTTAAATCTTGCTGTTAACAATTTAAATATTTATTGATACATTCATGATATTCACCTCAAAACTAATAATATAAACTTATCTTACTCATTATGTTTTTCTTTTTTATTCTTCATTATTTTTTAGACATCTTTCAAACTTGACATATGTTTGTCTTCTTCTTTCTTATCTCCACTCAATCACATTAAGGTATCAAGCTTGTAAAGCTTGAGACTTTTAATGGTATCTGCCAGGGATGAGTAGCCTAGGGTAGCCTAGTGGACATGGCATCTGCCCGGTAAGCGGAACACTATGGGTTCGTTTCCCATCCCTGGACACTTTTATTTTTCCGTTTATCATTACTCTTTACAATTTATCCTTTCATAATTCATCCCTAAGGTTGGAAATAATCGTTATTTCTCCTTAAAAATAAATTTCGATTTTTCATTTAAAAGAAACACATCCGGGATGGTTTTCAAATGTTGTTTTACAATCAATACAACTGTGCGACGACCTATGCAGCATAGCTGGGAGATTTGACAACCATCATGACTGGGTGAAGTAGAATGCCTTTGTCATCAAGACTGGGAGCACTACTCAGTGGCAGGCCGACTTAGCTCCAAAAGAAATGGCCGCCTCTGACATGAGGAACAGACGCCATGTGCAGCGCTCCTAACATGGAGTACAAACACTGTTCATTCTGTATCCCTGGATTAGGAGCCCTTACAGGGTACTATCAGCCGGGTCAGCTGAGCCCAGGCTTTTTAGTGAGCTTGTTACTGCTTCCCCTCCTCTTTTTTCATCCAGGCTTGGGACCGGTAAAAGCAGAGTTTGTGTTGAAATAAAATATGTATATATAAATTATGATAAGGCACAATTTGGATTATAGATTATAAACACAAGGTAATAAGACCAAATCCAAATAAATAAATATTGTGTGACGTTTCAGTAACAACGCTGTTAACGAAACGTCACGCACTATTTATTTATTTGGATTTGGTCTTATTACCTTGTGTTTATATATAAATTAATTACATAAGACTGATCAATATCTGAAAGGACATTCAGAATTCATCAGTTGTTACAAGCTTTTTCATGGAAACCCGAAACTTCCATTGGAATTTCTTTATCTCTTAACACCTTAATTACAGAGTGTTTCTTCATTTTAAAAATCACGCCATTATCTGCCACAATGTCAGGGCTATCATCCAGTACCTGGAAGAGATTATATGTTTGAAATCCACTGCACTTTATCATCCAAAACATTGTGGCCACACAAGAGGCAGATTTTAGATTTCAAAATATTTTATTGACCTTATGATAGGCACAATTTGGATTATAGATTATAAACACAAGGTAATAAGACAAAATCAATAATTATTTATTTGGATTTGGTCTTATTACCTTGTGTTTATTGATCCTAAATAAAGTAAATTTGCAAAAAAATAATAATAATTAAATAAAAAGTTAAAAAGACAAGTATAAATAATATATAAATACAGTATAACCTCACTAAAATGAACTGGGGATTTAGCAAACCCTTTGTTTTAATAAACCTGAAATAATCTCCTTTTTTATTTTATAATATAGTGAGCTATTTAAATGTAATTCTACTATCTCAAAAGCTTATGTCCATTGTTTGATTAAATACCATTTCTAAGATTCCACCCTTCAGTGTAACATATATAAACAGAATCGTCCAATACAGTATTAGAGCTCTAAAGAAGCGGTCTGGTAGATTAAATTGGTGAAACTGCTGAGAGGGTTCACCACTGATTAGCCAAGCCCTCCCAATATATTTTATCATCGCAGTAAGGGCAGTAGAAGTTTGATTTATTTTTTAAAAGAAACATTCACATCTTAATGTTTTCATTTGTAATATATGGCTATAGTGAACCAAATGTTCAGTCCTATTGGGGTTTGCTATAGATAGGTTTTACTGGATATACAATTATCTACATTCAAAGAAGCTCTCGACAATGAAGAGTCCTCCTCCAAGCTATCAGGGGGACCTTGCAGATGTCTCTGATATCGGAGTCAGGAAGAACCTGTATATTCTTGACTTGACAGAGGATGGGATGTTGAAGCGAGGTGCTTTATGTATTCTCTATATGATATTTTATTTACATAGCTATATATTTAAAAAAGATGCATATATTGGATTTATAATGAATTTATTGTGCCAATATTTCGTACCATGAGACATCCATGAGAACCCCTGATTGCTTGAAGGAGAACTCTTCATTGTCAGGAGCTTCTTTGAATGTAGATAATTGTATATACAGTAAATTCATTATAATCCAATATATGCATCTTTTTTTAATATAATTTTAATTATGGATTACTCAATCTTCAAAATAACTATATATCTCTATATATAGTAGAACCTCCATGAGAGGATACTCACGCTAGAGGACACCTCTCTATAAAGAACAGTTTTCATCGCTTAAAATACCATTTTTACTATTTAGAGACTCTGGTAAGAGGACATATCTCCCTAAAGGATACTTTGGCTCTGCAACTAGGTGTCCTTTACAGGGAGGTTCTACTGTATTTAAATAAGTCCGTGTATGTACATATGTAAACAAATATGTTTGTGTGCTATACACTTATTGAATATGTAACTAATCTGGCTAAAATTTTGCTAACAGTATATAGAGTTGAATCTGGAAAACTTAAATTTTCAGGTCTCTATCTCAAATATCCTTGGAGTTATTTACAAATTTTCCAACAAATATTTCAATTTCACTCACAACCAGTGCCCCACTGCGGCAAAGATAGATTTCAGTTTTGGCAGAGGTTTGCTGCATGCCTGATGACCTCACGTCTTTCAGGACTAAAATATTAAGTAAATAATTCAGTACTTTATATAAAAGGTATATATTGGCTTGAAACAAAATCATTACCAATACAGTAGAACCTCTATGAGAGGACACCTCTCTACAAGGGACAGTTTTCATTTTCAAAATTATCATTTTTACTATTTACCAACTCTCCAGTAAGAGGACACCTTTTCGTAAAGCACACTTTGGCTCTGCAATTAGGTGTCCTTTACAGGGAGGTTCTACTGTACGGAGGGTGTTTCCTTTCAAATGAAACGATTTTCGCGCGCTCGCGTTTTGCACGTGCAGGCATGCTGCACACGACACTGGTTCCAATAGATCTAGAATCTTCTGGAGAATTCATTTTCATCAGGTATCATGATTTTTGCAACATGGGGGGAGAGAGACTAACGCTCCAAGTCGAACAAACAATTCAGACCCTTTCCAAAGAAGGAAACAGTTATAGCGTCATAGTGAAAAAGCTAAAAGCAGAAGGACTAGATGTTGGCAAAGCTACAATATGTAGGGTAGTAAATGGCATCGGAAAGAAAAGGGAAGCTGAATCCAATGGGCAAAAATTTCAAGTCGATCGACCACGTCCGGTGCGGACCCCCGCCACGGTTTCCAAGGTAAAGCGGCTAGCAACTACTGAAAATCCACCATCTCAGCGCCAACTTTCCAGAATGTGTGGAACATCGCTAAAAACGATAAATAACATCATTCACAAAGATTTGGAACTGGATACCCGACGAAAAGGCAAGGTTCACAAGCTCACCCCTTTCCACATGAAAAACCGTGCAACGAATGCCCGGAAGCTCTACGAGGAACACCTGGCCGGTTCCAGATCGGAATATACTGCAACATTGGACGAAGCATGGATGTATGTGACGTATTGCAATGGAATCCGGAAGATCTATTACATCAAAGAGGCAATCAGGTCCCGGATAATTGGGTTCACCAATGCTCCGAAACTTTCCCTAAAGGTTTCATGGTTGTCGGGGTAATGACTGGCCGTGGAGTCCTTCCGCTCATAAAGGTTCCATCGAAGGTGAAGGTGAACTCAGAATTCTATATAGAATGCGTTCTGAAACCTGTCATCGAACAACTGAAGGACCTTTACCCAGGGGAAATGGACAAAGTGTTCCTTCATCACGACAAAGCCTCTTCCCATACCTCCAACAAAACCCAACAGTTCCTACAAGAAATGAAGGACACCCTAGGCCTAAATTTTATAAGGAACTCAGACATTCCAGTGAAGTCTCCCGACGCCAGCCCACTGGATTTTTACGGGTTCGGTATGTTGAAACAACGGCTCTTCAACCGACGTCCCAAAACTGAGGCCGGACTTTGGAAAGCCGCACAAGAGGAGTGGTCGAATGTTTCGCTCTCCAAAGTCAAGGAAGTGTTCGCAGCTTGGAAAGTCCGATGCAGGGAGATAGCCAAGAAGAAGGGGAAGCACATAGAACACATGAAAAAAATTCACGTTCGAAAAATAAAGTTCTAACTGACGTTTGAAATCGTTTCATTTGAAAGGAAACACCCTCTGTATTTCAGTTGACTGAACACCAACCTTTGTTAAGGTGTACAAAAACAACAAATTTATTTTATATAAATAAATTCTGGGGTACATAATGTTGTGTGTGTGTGTGTGTTATTGAGACAACGGAAATTTTGGTAAATCAACTTTTTTTTTTTGTATTGTGACAAAAAATAGTACAAATGTGTGATATTGTGTACTGGGATAGAGTGCATAAATTAAGAAAAAAAAAGATATCTCCTAATCCCTGAAAGTTGCTGATGGCTTATGCCATCTATCTAGTTGATGTTTATTCCAATAGTGGTGCAAGCCATCAGCAACTTTCAGTTGAACAATAAGGAGATGCCTCTTTTTTGTTATTATTTTCCCTCGTAGAAGTAGAACAGGCCATGATAATCATTGAAGATAGTAGTTTGCGACTACTTATTACTACAAGTGTGCCACATGTCTACACATATAGAAAGCCATTCAACTTTTGCACTTACAAGTATGGGAACGTCGCCTTTGCCGGTCCCAAGCCCGGATGAAAAAGGAGGAGGGAGAGCAGTAACAAGCTCGGTAAAAATCGTGGACTCAGCTGGCCCGGCTGATAGTACCCTGTAAGGGCTCCTAATCCAGGGATACAGGATAAGTCTGTACTTCATGTTAGGAGCAGCTGCACATGGCGTCTGTTCCTCATGTCAGAGGCGGCCATTTCTTTTGGAGCTAAGTTGGCCTGTCACTGAGTAGTGCTCCCAGTCTTAATGGCAGATGCATTCTACTTCACCCAATCATGATGGTTGTCATGTCTCAAGCTCTACAAGCTTGATACCCTAATATGATTGAGTGTAGATAAGAAAGAAGAAGACTTACAAATATGCAAGAACGACGTTTTGTTACTTGCACTCACTGCCAGGGCCATTGAATCAATTTTTTCTTCAGAAAAAAGTGCCCAATGCAGGATTCAATCCTAGATTGTGGCTAATGGAAATTGATGGTT